TATTTACCCAAAAATAAGGGCATTTACCGTTTCTAGTTGGGAGTCTGGGAGGATTTTTTTTTCGTGCAGAGTAGTAAGTACGAATCCTCCCAGGCCGACCTATTCCCAAGTACCCAAAGCCCTTTAAATTGTATGTCCGGCTGTTTTAAGCGACATCGGATCCGATCCCCGTGCAATACGTGTGGAAACGGTACTTTAGCCATTATCACATACTGTATTTTAAGCAATAAAATCTTCCTCTCCGAACCAAACAAAAGCGCACAAAAAACCGAAGAATAAAACCGAACTGGTAATAAGAATACAATGAAGAACTAGTAATAAATGTAGTCATTAAAGTCAGCCACCCTCATTAGATGGCGATCACTAGAAATGAATCGGCTTCGACTGTTTTCTGACGACTTAATAGGGGCCTACCCCGGTTTCTAGATAACCATCAAACAAGCTTCGCGGAACAAATTATGCAAACTGCAACTGGTTGAAATCGCCTAACGGGATCCATCTAATTGTTTTGGTAATCTCAGCCAGCTACTCTCCGTAAACAGGTGGAATAAATATTTTTATTTTTTTATTTTTCATGGTGTATCTAGTGGACTCGCTACGACGACGGAGCGAGAAATCCTACACTGGAAGGAATTGGCAACACATAACATAACACACTAACACTTAGAACTGGGCTAAGTGGCACCCTATCCCACACGCATGATCTGGGGATCAAATCCTGGATTGAGACTCGTCCGGGCCGGGCAAATCTACCGTCTCTCCGATGTCGCAGGACTCGGTAATCGGTATCGGAATCATTTGGAAGAATAGATGCACTGACTTGTACTTCGGTTGGAACGCAACTCATTGTATGGGCTACATACGGAATCAATTTGCGACTTAAAATTGCTTCTACGATTTTGAATAAAAGTTGAATGCGGGGACATCTCCAAGACGGAATTGATCAACGCTTAGAGACTGTCCCTTCGAACTTTGAAGTTCTTATGCCGTGGAAATTTCTACGTAGTGTTACTTTGCTTGAATTTATTAGTCAGTAATGGAGGCACACATTCTTGATTCCACAACCGATATCAATAGTAGAGCATTGCATTCAAAAAAATTAATTTAAAATCAAAAGCCCATGGGCTGACGAATCCCTCTCCACGCCTGCTCTACATAGTTCAGATGATTAGCTCTTCTCAATTGATTTTCTGAACAACCTGAACTTCAGCTTTTACCCTCCGAGATGATGTCAAGCCTGACTGTTCCGGGTGGAGCTTCACCCATCATTCTGTGGGTGTGGCAATAGCGTCCCCTTTGCTATAACAAGTATGAATAAGTTATGACCGGAGCAGCAAATCGCCAACGCAATGACGTGTAATATTGGCGTGCCATATCTTGATGTATTTAGGCTGTACTCGGTATTTACCTAATACTAGTTTACTTCAAAATTCTCACGTCAACAAAAAGGAAGAAAGACGAGCATGGCAAATTACTGATGCAGACAAAAATTCTTAAGGGGATGACTGGAGCTTGCCGGTTCTAAGGGAAGATACTTATTTGATTGGAAAAGTAGGAGAGAAATTTTCGTGTAAGTACTAGTTTACAAGGAATGATCGATCTGAGGAATATTATAGTTGCCAGTTTCAATTGTAACAGAACTAATCCAATGTTTAGATGGGAAAACCGCTCAGTATAAGGTACTGGTACATCGGGAACTTTCAGTGACATTTATTATGGGAACCAACGTGGTTTATTGTTACCTTTTCACTAAGTGTCATCAGCCTACCGTAAAAATGTGGAGGTGATGCAGTGGCAAGTAGCGCACTATCACACATGATCCACGTATCAAATCCCGGATCGACGCTCGTCCAAACCAGGATTTTCACCCCTACTGGGTCACTTGATTGGTACCAAACTCGTTTGGGAAGATAAAAGTACTGACGTGTACATCGTATGGTCTTCGCAAGTCATTGTAGGGGCCACCTATGCGTTCAGATTGTGACTACGATTTTGAATGAGAGTCGAGTGCGGCGCGCAACCCGAAAAAGGGATCGGCCAACGCAACAAGGCTTCACTCTTAATTTCAAATTTTGGTACCCAAAACGAAGCCGTGCACAATCACGAATCCTTTCTTTTTGCCTAAACCATTCCCTTTCACAAAATTTCATGCCTTCCTGGACCACTACCTTTCCCTAAACCTATGTGTTTCAACTTGAGCAGAGATAATCTTGCAGCAGCGTGCCACCCTTCCGTATACACGGTCAGTGGATCAAATCCTGTTTAGGCCAGTCGATATCTCATCCCTTGAACAACAATTACCTGGTAACAGGCTCATATAAGAAGATCTTAGTGTTTCTCACGTCGTCCACTCTTTACTATATATTGCTTCATGAATTCGGAAACGAGGCTTATACCAGAAAATACAACTACCGACTAAGGTCCCCATTCCTTACCCTTTCCTTCAGACGCCGAAAAGCTGGAGGACTTCACGCCCCCAGCTTTTCGGCGTTAGCAGAAATATTGCCGTGTTTACAAACAACAATTACACTCAAGAGCTTTATCACAGAACTTAAACTTTTCAGTAATAAAACATAAACAACCCTTGTGCTGGAATCCGGCACAGTTTAACACCAGCTAAGCGCAAAAACTGGCACTAACCATACTAACAAAACATAATTAAAAAGCTTGTAGCCGACTGGTTTCATGAGGTTCGCAGAAAAATCAGGGATGAGTACGAAAAAAANTAAAGGCTACCACACTATGAAGCTCGTATTGATTACAGCAATGATACAGGAGCAACAAAACAAAAATGTAAAAGTGAAGACTACTTTGAAGAGAATTAGGTAAGAAGACCCTAATGAAGATGAAGAGCCCATAATCCACGTTCACAGTGTTTTAGAAGCCTAAAACTCTCGAAAGAAAGAAATTATAAACATAGTAACTTCAAACCTAAAAAACCCGCAAGTAAAAATGGCATTCCAAAAGAGAACAAATATAGAAATACTCATAATACTGGATAGAGAAAGGTAACCAGTACATTCCCCTATACCGTTCATGCAGCTATCCGAACGCATTGAAGCTTATCGCCATTTGGAAGACATCGAACCTAAACAGTTGTATCCTCATTTACAAAGTTGATAAAAAGTAACTGAGCAGATTTTCCAATGTTCAGGGGCGCTTCACCCCTTCTATGTATGTATTTCATAGGCTCAACTTCATCCACGTCAATCGGCTTTACATCCCACAACACGCAAAATGGTAGACTACTCTATAAGACTAAAAGTAAAAGGATAGAATCGCGGACGATGATCAGCCCGGTTTTGGGATGCACCACGCATCTTACTCCCAATCACAATCCTATGGGGAATAGGAGGCATACTCGAACCGCCGACGTACAATTCAGTGATGTTGCTTCGTTACCAACTCTGGTATCACGTAGCCACCTTACTTTAGCCCCATAACTTGACTCACCATTCGGGGAATGAGAAAATAAGACAGACTGAGCCAGAAACGCAAAAAAAGCTGCAGAAAACTTAGCGATCAGTAATATGTAGACTTTAGGCATACCCGGTATTCACGCTTTTTTTTACTAAACCACGTACCAAATGATAGTCTTATTTTATGCTCAGATGGGAAAAAATTCCCGGATTATGCGCCTTCCTGCAAATCGAAAATAAGTAAAAAAGGAACCAAAGGATTGAATTTTGTTTCTGTTTTTACGTGCATCCCTCTGAAGGCAACTGAGGACCTCTCAAGAGACCTGTTCCACCGGCAACATTTTTTTTTACAAATCTCTACCAATCTCTACTACTACAAAATTGTACCAAAAGTTGCATTACTGTTATTACAGTAATAAACTATGCCAAGTTTCACAGAAAGCCGTACTTGGAAATTGTACCAAAAGTATTTCTAGACGAAAAATGAGAACATAACTAACCTGAGTGATATCACCTCTTAAATACTCTTGAACTTGTGGTGGCAAATGCAATACATATGCTTCCCGTAACGCTTGTTCCACCGTTTTCAAATCTTCATCCTGAATTTCAAGAAAATGAAGTCGTTTAAGCACAATCTGTTCTAAACCGTCACTTGAAGAAAAGGTTCGCCCGCTTGTTTCCTAGAGCCTTTTCTTGAATACCGCTGTAAATTAAGCCCTCCCCTGGACCACCACTCTTTCTCGCCCCATTACTTAAAGCCCCTGCGCACTGCTTACTAGTTCGCACTGAAGGTTTACGGGCGGTCAGCCAATCAGAAAAGCCCTGCTCGCACCTAGCTTACACCTCATTGGCTGACAACCTGGATCACTGACTAACACATTCTATAAACATTCGAAAGACTGGTTCATCACATCACAATTGTCCAGGATCACCCTGACAAGGCCAAAGCCGTTTGCCTTACAGAACACATCATCAAGTCATTAGGAGCACCTGACTAAAATACTAGCTGTTATTATCGAATAGATTTTTGAACCTCATGTAAGACTCGTGTTTTGTAGGCACAAAACAAAAGCAAAAATACAGAAAACAAATTAATAAAGTAAACAAACCTCCACGTTCAAACCAAGAGCACCATAAGCTGCTGTCCGCATTAAATTGAAGAAAGTGGCTCTTTGCCCTGGATGATCAAAAGCGATCGCATCTTGTAAAATCATGACGTGTCTTTCGACAATCTGAATAGCTCACCATTGAAAATAAGTTATGCTAAAAGGGCATCAAAGTTTCGAAAAAACTGCTACCTCTTGATGAACGTGAGGTTCACTTGACTGGGTGACAGATTCGAACCGAAAATTGAATGTGACAGCCGGGACCTCGCTGTCAATGTAGATAAAGTCACCTTCAGAAACCAAGCATATCTGAAAACTACGTAAATTCATTGTGTATGAAGAAAATAAAAGGGAAAACAGTTTGTATCAACCTTTGAAAGAGTGAAAAAGGTAAAGAGTGTTAAGAGTAAACATGGTGGGCGGTCATGATTCGCCACGCATGCCATGTATTCATCATCCGCTATGAATTACACGGACATTTTGAATGCACGCCCTGTTTTACAGTCAAGACAACACGACAAATGACAATAATATGATATCGTATGATATGATATGATAAGGGAAAGTCTTATGGTAACACATGTGCAAAGAGTTTTCATTAAAAGAGGACTCTACAAACACACCATGTTATCCTCCACTGAAGGGGGTAATCCGGACGTCAAGAATTGCTCCATCACCAAGTCTGAAAATTGAGATAACGGTTTCAGAAATCACGAACATCGGTATATTCGGTCAGCTCGATTTTTTTTCTAACATTCCACATAGAACCCGATATGAAAGTGCTATATCGAACCTATCTGCCCAGGGCCTTATGAAGTCCCTCGAATTTTCTGACTTTCTTTCATTCCCTCGTCGATGCTATTTAACAGCCCTTCTTATAACTTCTTTTCTACTTTCTGAGAAGACATGTTATTCCAAACACTAGCGCTATGTACACATTTTCGTCCCCATTACTTACGAAGACAACGGGTAATTTTATAGGCGTTCTCGGGTGCTAAAGCCAATGTCGCAAAACCTATGAAAATGACTATACTGATTTTTGGAATTCTCACCCATAATTTTTCTAATACTGCTAGCTACTTTTAACTATCTAGTAAGTAGGAAAGTGATCTGTACCACTGAAACTTCAGGATAAGGATGAAAAACAGCTTACTTGGTATAGCAGGAGCAGCGCTGAGTCGAACTACGATTGGACGGCCACTTCTAACCGCCTTCAGTAGTTGATGGCCTTCCTTGTGATAGACGAATAACGATGGGATAACAATGTCGTCGGGCGAATCCTTGTCTTCCGCCATGGCAAACGATGGCTCATTGGCCGATGATGTACCAGGGATGTGATCTGAAGTCATGATTGGGTTTTCTATTTTCTAACACCTCATTCAGCAGCACCAACTGATTAAACTACTTCCACTACTGTCAAGGCACTGGTGGACGTTAAATTAAGAAGGCAAATCTCTCAAGTGCCGCGAAATCCTCAACGGAGAGAAAGGGGTGGATGTTGAGTATTTGGGATAACAACCTTGAAGTTTATCACTTCAGCTCAGCCCTGAGCCAAACAAAACTCTTATTTGCGAAAAGAAAAAGAAAGGATGTGGGGTTTCTTTAAGTTAAAATACATTGCCAAGGTCAATACTGCAGAAATTAATACGACTGGAAGTAGTTTCACTAGCTGCCACCTTTACAAATGTGAACCAACAATTAGACGGATTGGTGGCTGATCCCAACAAATTAGCCACAGTGAGCTCCACCTTCCATACCAAGGACTACAATTTCAAAAGAGGAATACAAAACTTCTGGGGTATGCCAACAGCTTTGCAAAAGGATAATTCTGGAAGGCTAGGACTGGAGGGGTGATAACATTCCCGATCTCTTCGAAAGAAACGACGAGCATGACACGCAATACAACCCCAACTAAAGAGTGGGATTACTATAACAACATGCAACTTTACGTTTTTCATACCGATAGGATTACTTGACAGCCACTTTTGCTTCGATCACGTAAGCTCCAAAATCGCCAACTTACCAACAACAATAACACCAACAGCCCCAGCAAGTTGAGCTTCACGTGACTTTTCTTGAAACATACAATCGGACCGTTCTATCAAAACAATTCGTCCACGAACTCTGTCCTTGTTCGTCAGAGGAGAACATGCCCGTAATGGTTCCGCGATAACAAGTTCACCTTCAACCTGTAATACCGAACTTATGCAAGTGCACTGGAGTATAAGCAAAAACCTTTTTTGTACAAACCGTTTTTGGTATTATCGAAGCACAGGCTTATCTAGGAATAAATTTCTCAAAATCACACCGAAAATGGGACATCTATAGGAGGTAAGAACGTCAAGGCGGGCGCAGTAGCGATAAAGCACAGTATTGATCCGAAAACCACACCGCATCGCAACCGCGTGCGTCCTCATGTGTACGCGACGCATAACAGGTGACATGTACAATTCGAACCTCACGATATTTGCTGGTAGATATTACAACAAAGTAATGAAGGCTGACGCCTTTATGTAACACCTCTAACGATAAAACGAACCAAAAAAAGAACGAAAAAAAATTAAAGAAAAGGTACAGTTACCGGTGAACCCTCCAGATCAGCACCGTATTGTGCAGGAGCTGCACGAAATACTGGTTCACCAAAGTATGGCGCAGAAAGGATCTGGACATAACGGTGACCACGAAACTCTGCTGCTACAAAATAAGAATATTTTAACCACACTAAACAGTAAACTCGTCCAAAAATAGAAGTCACCAGATTCACTTTCTCTTTGCGAAGTTAATTGCAGCATTTCTTGCATGAATTCTATGCCACATTTCGCCATTTGTGGGCTGATGGCCTAGAAAGTGTATGGTTTACTTTACTACTTCATCATATAGTAAACATTCACTTCTCAGACTGAACAGCTCTACAAACACATTGGATGGATACACATTTATCTGAAACTTTAGTTTCAACATTATGCAATTTCCTGCCGAGCCGATCTGCGCTGACATGAGTGTGAATCACAACATAAAACTTTTTAAAGAAAATAATACAATATTAAGCTGTATCACAGATATACCCAAACATATCGCAGACCCAATTTAAGACAGATATGTAAGAGTTGTAGCCAATGAGTAAAACAGGCCAGCAAAAAAAAAACTTATTCACAGGAAAATGTGATATCTCTAGGAGGAATCTATACGAGACTAGTATGATGACACACGAGTAAGCCAATTGCTTTAAACGGTTGAATGTGAGGTCTATTCGACTTTAGTCTTAGAACCTAACGACTTAAATAGTACGGCAGCTGAGCAAATAACGAAAGCAGCCACACTTAAGAGTATGAGCCAGACAACGAGGATCAACATGAGTAGGCTGATCATCTGACCAAGGGCAACACTTGCACCAGAGACTCGAATCGCAAACGACGTTATAGTCGACGGCGTGCCGTTCCCGTCAATTTCACACGTCACCACTCCACCCTGCAACACGAAAGACTGTCAGAGATGGCACAAGCAGCGCTAACAACAACTAGACTTTTTCTCAACTTCGATCCATCAATGCTATTCAAATCAGCAAAAGCATCATCACCAGTCCGACACTGGTCATGAGCCAACTGCTTGTACAAACTCATCTGTCTTTCGTGTTGCCGCCCAATTAGGACAAGATTAGTGACAGAACTTATACACATACTGAGAGTAACTAAGAACAGAAGCAAGACGAAAGATAGATTCCTCAGAAAATCGAGGAAAAGCAGTGGACACAGCTCACAATGTCGGAAGGGTTTCTAAATTTAATAGCCAAACTCAAAAGTGGGTACCTCTCCTCGAACGTAAAACGCACCAATAGCAATGCAGTAAAAGACTCAGGAGGACCGCCCACATGCACGACAAACTCATTGTGATTGAATACAAGAAACTCACATCACTTGTTTGATGGCTCAAATGCATGCGGCCGTCATCGTGAACTTGTACATCGATGCCCATTTGTCTCAACTGCTTGATATGTTCGGCATTACTTGCAGAAAACGCCCATGCCCGTAGCCGTTCCGACCTTAAACAGATACAACGTCAATAGCGCAAAAGAACTATTCGTCAAAGTAGACGGGCCATCGAATCTAAAATCGCCTCAGGGTTCAGCATAAATCGTTCACCCACGCTCCCATATTCTTGACTAGAGCCCTTGATGCCGATCCAACCCCGATACCCCGACAGGGAGCGATGTTGAGAAGCTAGCCCCAGATGGCTTCACAAGAATCCGACGGCCGTTTTCGTGTAAACATTATCTTCGGNACGGCTTGACACATTGCAGAGGTTGCTGAGAGGATTGTTGTTGTCGCTGCATATCAAACAATTCTTCGAGAACACCCTGTGTTCGTTCGCGAATCCTCAGCGCTTCCTCGGCTTCCGTGGGATATTGGTTAGCACCGGGAGGATTTGCATATACATAGAATTCTTTGGACGACACTGATATGTCATCCGGGTGGATGAGCATGCGCCGTGGAACCTTAAAAAGCTTTATTTTGCGGACAACCTACAAACTTGACCAAATAAGAGAAGGTACTGGATAGCCGACTAGACTTACCTCGTTCTGTTCGTTACCAATGTTTAAAGGCAGGAAATGAGCCTCTGTTGTAAGTACATAGTTGTCTGGATCAAAGATCAGTTCTGAAGGCTCCGCAAAAATCATGTACAGGTATTTGAAAGTTTCCGAAAGAACGAAGGAGTCCATTCTAAAGCAAGTTTCAATGGTTATTCCTTCATTGGTGAAACATTATGCAAAATACCCCTTCAAGAATCGAATAAGCATAACTTTTACTGTACTTACCTGTCTTCGTGCGACATTGTTCGGACATCTTTTACGCCAGCAAATCCACATGGGACCCGCACGTAGTCATTGATGCTATCCATTACCTAGATAAGCCCTACATAGCCATACGGACAAAAAGTAAAAGGGGAAAGTTCACATGAAGAACAGTTATAGATCGATATTGAAGGAAGGTGTTGGAATAAATTGGACCTATAGGACCAACCTGCTTGGCAACCTCCAAGTAATGAGGATCCTTTGTGGCTCGATATAGGAAATAAGTGCTTTCTATAAACTCTGGACGAATAGGATGCTCAGCCCAATGTACTTGAAAATCATGAGTGAACGCTTCAGGAAGGAATTTATGTTTCTGCAAAACAACAAAGTACTGTCAGCCCTGAAAAATTCAAAAAAAAAATGAAACGAACCCGAACTACTTGGAAAAGCATTTCATGCATTTCGATAGCTCGTTTAACATCGCCTTTCAAGACCTGGAACAGCAATATTTTCAAAAAGATTCTTTTCAGAGAATTAGTTGACAACTTGAGAAAAATTTCGAAAATTATCGCGGTATACTTTCAGCAATAGGTGCAGTAGCCAGATGCACATATCACGCACACGTCGGTGAAATCCCGGATCGGCATTCACCCAGACCAACACAGCTTCCCATCCCGTTAGGGTCGTAACAAAACCTAATTAGTAGCATACTCGCTTCGTAGGATAAAAGTCCTGACTTGTAAATGAGCTGTCCATTCGAACTCACTGTATGGACCACACAAGCATCAAAACTCCACTACAATTCTGAATTGAAGTCGAATAAAGGGGCGCATACGTCGAAGACTTTTGAACTTTATATTCTCAGCAAATCCCTTCCTCTACTATTCCAGTCATCCACTGACCGCTAAACAGACCAGACAGACAATGCTCTTCCAATAAACCTGTTCGAGCCTTTGGCTATCATTCAAATATTTCATCAAGCCTCAGGAAAAAAATTATCTTCGCCGCTTGTTTCTGTAACGAGTTTCCTGCAAAACCATAAAAGGCAGACGAATAAGCATGCAAACGGGCCCCCGTACGTTCACTGCATCAATTCGAGAGATTCGCTCATAATGAAGTGACACTTTTTTTGAAACTCGAGAACAAAGGCTGCATGAAAAAGAGGGAAAAGGGTAGGAACTTCAGAGACTGAGTCGAGTTGCCAAGGGGGTACTTACGACACCTTGCATTACAATCAAATCATTTGAAAAAAATATGAACAAATTTTCTCGCTCCACTATGACGCCATTCAGTGGACCCCTAGTAAATCGCATTCACACCAACATTCGCAGCATCCTAGAGACAAAAGGATGGCTACAAAAACGAAGAAGTTGCATTCAGGAGTGTAAGATGTAAAAAAGTAACAGTTGGCAGTTTCTTTAGACTGCTGTATATTACACTGGAACTTTTGCGACCGAAAACTAGTTTGAAGTAGTTTATAAGTGACTGGCCGCTCGAAGACAAAGAAATTGTTCTGTGATGCATTGTTGAAAAATCAATGCCAGAAAATCGAGTCAGTCAGATCATAAAAACTCGAAACGGAAAGAAAAATCAATAAGAGTGGAAAATCAATGACATCAACAAACCTGAAGGGCAGGCCAAAATGCCAGTAAAGCATCCATGAATGAACGAGTCGCCACTGTAGGTCTGTGCATGTGAACATCAACAAATAAAGGACCTTTGTTAACGTACCTCATCACCGCTTCATAATGCTACAAAAACATTTTTACCAGTAATAACTTGTAAATAAAAATGTTGAGTCCAAAAAAGCAAACCTACCCTTTCAAAACGCTCCAAAAAACTTTTGTCGCCTAGAAGAATATAGGCCTTGAGACAGTACTCGTAATAGGAGTCAATTCCTGCGCCAATACCACTTTCTAAACTTGACGTAATTAACTTATTACTATACTTACTTACGTATCAACTTACTTAACTCCAAAAAAAAAAAATAAATGAAGAGGGATTTGGTCACCCAGAACTAGAATTACTACTTTAAAATTTTTCTGAAATCCAACGTCCGCTCGTACTAATTGGAAGCAAAAAGTAAACAATCCATCTTTAAGGGAAAAAACCAGATAATCCTTGCATAGTACTTAACGGAGCGGTAAGAAAAATTGACAAAATAAAACACTAAAGTTTTTGAAGACTTGTGTTTAATCAAAGCTTTAAAAAATACCTCTCCGGACCCAGTCGCCAGAATGAACATTCAAAACAGTTCCCATCAAATCTGACGCCCGATGTCGTTGACCCCACAGGAAATCCATGGCTTTTCTGGCCTGAACAAAAGGGATGATGGGAAGCGACACTATAGGAAATTCAACAGAAGTTATATACCTTTTCCTCATATATACCGTTTCCAGTAAGCCTTGATAAGGCCGCCATTTCTAGCAACATCGTTCCTCCGCATGCGGTGCACGTATCTTTTTGTCGTTTAAGATGCTCCAACATGCCGTGGCGAAGGTTTATCTGAATTTAACACGAACGATGAATAAGAGCAAATAACGGCAACCTCCAAAATCGAAAAAAGATTGGTAAAAGTCTCTCACCCTGCTGTAAGGAAGACCCGAAGACGTATTGAAGGCAGGTAGCAGACGATCCCCGATGTCTATGGCCATTTTCAGCAGTTGCCTATCATTGTACCATTGCAACCGCTTAGGGTCTTTGCTTCGAACCAATTCGGCCATAAGGTGCCCTGAAATGATGAAGGGAAATAGCGGTTACATGTTCGAAAAAGAAGTGACAGTAAGCATGAATACTCGTACTACTACGAGTGAACTGCATCATGAAGGAAGGAGCTTCTTCTCAATTCAGGGAGCACAAGACAAGCAAATATGGATATGGGACCGGAATGACATGATACAATTATTCCTATATGGTCGAATATCGATGAATACATTACTCAAAATCCAATCCTTCAACAGGAATGAGCAGCGAGTCAAGCTAAGACTTTAGTTTATAGTCCTATGGAATTCCCCACTCCTTTTTTTTTATGATGAATCACTTCACTCACCAGAGAGAAGACCTCCAAGGATACGTATGTTGGTCTCGAACACCGACACAATGAGATCGGAATCAAACCGGACGTTGTCCACAATCAACTTCACAGCCCTTTCGAATTCATCCAAATCACCGATGACCACTAACGTATCCAACGTATCAATTAGCGTCAGAGAGAAGCTGAAATGAAGGCTCTGATGGTCTCTTCACAATCGAGAACTTTTCTTTTACTATGAAGCCCGCTGTATTATCTATCAAGTTGGCGACTAAGTAATGGCGTATATTTCAGGAAAATATAATCGCTAAAAAAATATCCATCATAGAGTACTCAGGTACTTCGTCTATAAATACAGATCACTTTGAAAGTTACCCCTTAAGACCTTTGAAATACTGAGAAAAATTGCAGGTACCCAATACAACGCTGGCTAGTTAAGGTAAAAAAGAAGAGCTGAAGAGAAAAATGCTATAGCTTATGTGTAGGAATAGTTCGCTTTACTCAGGGCTTAGTATTGAGAGCGGAATGCCATCAAAAAATTTCAATGTAAATGCTAAAATGCTTACTTCCCGAGAGAATCATCGACGTCTCCTCTGCTTGGAGTGACTCCACGTATTCGTCCTCGACATGATAACGGCATGAGTTCATCTGCTGGATAAGCGTACGTCATGTAGGATTGGTAACCATGCATGAACATCTCATAAGCACGATCTCTGGAACGCAAGCTAGTTTGCTTAGAACTGACTGATGTTTATAAATGGAGCGGATATCCTCGAAAGACTACTTCGCTAATTTGGTATTATTCTAAGAATGAAAAAGGAGGGGACCTTCAAGTGTGAATACAAAAAAGATCTTCAGGCAGAATGACTAACCATCGGTTGATATGATTAAAACGAAAAATTTGAGGAAACCAGATTCGTAGCCCAAATGCCAGTCATTGCGTATCACGAATTTGACATATGCTCCGCCGCTTCCGAACTTGAGTGGAAACCTGGACCCAAGATGCACTAGGGGACCAGCAGAATTGGCTCACAGAAACAATTCTAGTAATAAATGTATAAATTACGTGGACGTTTGAAAACGTCAAGAGAACAACAGTATGGTTGCCAGAGCAATGGCCATACTCTACATGGGAGCCCTGAACGAAGTCCTTGCTATCCCTCATTTCAGGACGGTCCACTGGCTCGCAAAAGGGACGAATGTGGACGTTACGAGTGTATGCTCAGGGAAATCGATGATCAGGGGACGACAAGTGATAGGTGAGTAATTTCAACAAAAACAAATAAAAAAGGTAGAAAATGATAGGTAAGTAAGGTATAAAGATCCCTACCGCAATTCCGTTTTGTTGAGTTCTGCACAACATTCTGACAGTATCATGGACAGTAGTAGGAACAAGGCGTTGAAAGACAGCATCATGGCACAGTTAGGGATTATACATCAAGAAATACAACTGGATCGCATCCAGAGAAATGCTCTAGCTCTACTTAGTGGTAGCACTCCATATGCACAAAACCTGAAACAAGCAGGGGAAATGTGATAGGCATGAGAGCCAACGTCAGGCTCGGGCTCATCTGATGGCGTCAAAAACGAGATCATGGAATACGATACCATTCACATGTCTACGAAAATCGATCAGAAGAGCAGTAAAAGTTTCCAGAAAACTGGTTATCGTTTGTTATGTAGAAGAATTATGTTATCTAACAAAAATGCATAATGGCGAGCTTTTGAAAATGAAAGTCAAACTCAATGGAAAAACAAAACCATTAAACACCATCAAACCTAAGCCCATCAAATACAAAATCGTCCACAAGTTACTATCGTAAAGGAGTAGGTGGAGGTAACGAAACGAAACGAAGTTGCTTCAGCGTCTTTTGGGATCGAAATCAAAGTGAAATACCGCCCAAGTCGTAAACTCAAGCCCCTCAAAATGGGTGAATCCTCGCCAGAAGGAAAGGTGCACTGCGATGTACATCGGTTGTCTCACCCCTCCCCCACCTGGAATCAAGCATGCGTTAAAGGACTACTATTCCTTTTGAAAGGGAAAAATGCGTGGCGCATCCCACAAGATCAGCGCCGAACCCGATCTGTAGAAGCTCTGAATCTGATGAATGACCTGTTCAGCTGTTAAACAGTTACTCTAATTCTAATCCACTCTAGATTATGTTCCCTTGTGACTATAAAAAGGACCAAGAAGATAGCACATTAAGCTGGGAAACCGGGGTGGTTCGTGAAAGAGATCAGAGATGGGAATAACAGCTAAGTCTCAACGCAATAGGGGTGAATATACATTCAAGAGTTGTCCTCTGAATACTAACTATATTTAGGACAGCACTAAAACTCATTCATTTCTGAAAAACCTACTTTACTTGTTTCCTTGACTACCTGAAAAATGGTACATGATGTTGCAACAATATTCGCCCAAGTTTACTGTACGGTTGATCTAATTATGTAAGCACGCGGGGTGAATATTCCCAGATTTGGCCCCAAAACAACTTTCAGTTCAACCATTACATGACAATAAAGACGCTGTTGCCGCAATATTTTTCTCAGCGAGTCATTTGGAAATAGGAAAATAAAGTTCAATTTCATAAACGATTGCATACGTGGAATAGAAAAACTCGTCCTCTACATTTACGTCCGTAGCAGATACGGTGAATGCGGCCATTACTGTTTCATAACAGGAGTTAAAAATATTAGTCGCAGCTCAATTTGCAGTGGAACTTAAGAGCTTCGTCTCCTCTATAGCAAAAGTTCCATTTAAAAAAATCGATCGATATCAAAGATTAGTTTACATCTGACAAAAATTGCTCCTCAGTATAATTAATGTTCTACTTTTTTATGCACTCACTCACACAAACAGTTACTATTGAGCTGGCAACTAGTAAATGCGTAAATTTTAGAGAAACATTGCCACTTCTCGATGGGAAAAAAATTCACCAGCTGTATATTGATCACAAAGCACTCAGGAACCTGACCTACAAATATAAATCGCTTTGAAAAATAACGAAAAACCCCCCAAGGTATGTATGAAGTACAGAGAAAAGTAGGCATTTACTTAGTTGCCGACCTAATACTTTTT